TTGCAGTCTAAGATAAATATCCCTTCTCCACTGCAGGGTTTCTGAACAGCATCTTTGGTTTGCCAGCATGTAGCTCGAGTGTCCCATCATGTTCCATTTTTCCATCTAAAGTTGCATGGGAGTTGCTTGCAGGTGCTAACAGAATGATTCTGCTCCTGTCTATGCAAAAGTCTAGCTGGGTTCAGTGGGGTTTCTTCCCAGCCAAGTGTGGATTGGTTGCAACCAAAATATAAATGGGCACCATTTATTTAAAAAAATAATCCACTCCACACCACATACCTTGCTAGGCCGAAATGAAGTGTAAAACAAGATTCAATTTATTATCTTTGATCAATTCCATTTCATGCTAATCAAATGCACTTAATTAATTAGTTCCTATCTAATTTATCCTGTACTCCCACACCAGAAATCCGCCACTGTATTGCCAGCTTCTCATAGCCTGATTCCTTTCCATGCCAACCCAACTACGTTCCCTTTCTGGTTGGAGAGCAACATAACCATTGCCCTTAGATATGAGATCTGGAGATGAGCAGGCCCTTGTGTTGGGAGAACTTCTTAACTCAAATATTGTTTTGTTTGCTTGCTTGCTTGTTTTGTTTCCTGTTTATGAAATGAAAGGACTTTCTTTTCCCCACGAACACTCCCATCATATCCAGGGCTAGGAGACAACAAAGATCCATAGGCCAGGAGATACAACTTCCACAATAGGGGTTTTCTGTCACTTTTTGGTTGCAGTGAATACATTCTGAGCAACTCCTATCTTTTTTTTTTAATTTTAAAAATGTGCGTCTCCTTCATTGTCTGGCTGAGCTGAGCGAGCTGCCAAGGACAGGCTTTTCGGAGGGCCGAAAAGGGTTGCTGTAAGTCAGAGTCGGCTTGATGGCACACGGCAGCAGAATGCCTTGGTGCCTGCTGCCTGCAATGCATTCAGCTGAATTTACCGATCAAGCTCCTCGTAAATTAGAAGCACCAAGCTGATCAGTGCAGTGACTGATGGGTTTTGAATGCGTGTTTTGTTGATTGAATGGTGTTTTTAATTGCTTTTAAAAACCATATTGATTATTGTTACTATGTTTTAATGGCAGCGTTTCTACCCTGAAAGACAACCAAGAAATATTTTATAATAAAAATAGTTGTGTGAAAGTTAGCACATGGGAGAGATGTGCAAAATTGTCACGAGTGAGCAATGGGTATCGACCACCCTCACCAAATATGGACTTCTGTAACTTCATCTTCCAGTGACTGGGCCTGTGCAGTTCAGTACCTACTTTTCTGAGTTTTGTTCCCAGTTTTCCTTTCCCTCCCCGCACAAAGTCGTGCTTGACCCATCACAACCCCATGATCGCTCTCCTGTCCTCCACCATCCCTCAGAGTCCACCCAAGCCCACACCCACTGCCCCAGGGACTCCATCTAGCCACCTCATCCTCTGTCGTCCCCTTATCCTTTTGCCGTCAATCGTTCCCAGCATCGGGATCTTCTCCAGGAAGACCTTCCTTCTCGTTAGGTGGCCAAAGTATTTCAGCGTCAACTTCAGCTTCCAAAGAGCAGTCAGGGTTGATCTCCTCTAGGACTGACCGGTTTGATCGCCTTGCGGTCCAAGGGACTCGCAGCAATCTCCTCCAGCACCACAATTCAAAGGCCTCAATCCTTCAGTGCTCAGCCTTCCTTATGGCCCAACTTTCATAGCCATACATTGCAACTGACAAACCAAATTTGAGAATGAGGCTGGTGCTACCCAGGTGGCTTCATCCATCCTGGCCCCTCCAGATGACAAAGATGTCCACCTTGCTTTGAAGAGAACCTGATCTAAAGCCAGGCTGGCTGCAAGGAATCAGTCCTTTCTCCCCTTCCTTGTGCCAAATGTGAGCACATGTGTAGGGACACGTTTAACCTGTGTGCAGTTCCCAGTATATATAAGGCAATGTAAGATAATGATTTTTAGTTGATGGATTACGGGTGAGAAGGAAGCTTGGTGTCTAGAAGATGGCTTGAACCTATGTGGCAGCTGTCTGTCCTGCCACTGCCTGTTTCCCTCCCAGTTGTGTTTCTTGACTGAACGAACGCCCGTGAAATGATGCCAGCACACTAATTGCTTCCCGGACTGTGGCAGGGGAGCCCGTTCAGCTTTGTGTTAATTGGCAGCATGCTTCAGCATCTCCTTCCTCCAGTAGCAACTGGAGGACTGGCAAAACCCCAGAAGAAGCGCAGACGTCGTGCCTCTCTCGTTAAGAAAATGGAACGACGTGGCCAGGGTGGGTGAGGAAGTGGTTGCAAAGAACCTCCGGGGAATGATCCTCCTGCTGGCCTTCACTGTACACCCTGGCAGATAGATGAGCAAATTATGTGGTGAACCCCTAAAGGGAAAGCTTTGCCAGTGGCTGAAGGAAAGAGTGAGAGTATCGCGTAACTGAAGCTAGTTGGTTAAGAAAAGGAGGAGAACGGAGGGACAAAAGAGCACTGATGGAATATGGAAGCAAAGAGACAGAGTTTTGGTTTTTAAAAAGAAAATGGGGAGAGGCAGCAAAAAAAAGAGGGGAAAAAAGCAAAACCCAAGAAATGACTTGGCTATTTCCTGTCCTGCCTTCGAACTTTACTTCTAAGGTGTTGCTACCCTTTGCTGTTCCATCTTCTGGTATCCATCCTGTCTTTTCTTCCTCATATAATCCTGCTGTCCCTATTTTTGGTAACTGTTTTGCTGTCCCTCTTTTCTCTTCAGGAAGAATGCTGGGGTGCCTTTTGTAATAGGTGCCCACATGCTTTCAGGATCCTGGCTAACCAGGTGTGCTAGAAGACCTCCTCTGAAGTCACAGAGGAACAGGCTGTTTGTGGCTACTAACCTTGCTGGCCACGTGTACCTCCTTTTCCAGAGGCAGCATTCCTGCGTATACCAGTTGCTGAGAAGTTTGGGCAGGATGAGGCCTTGCACCCATCCTGCCTGAGGGATTCTGTGGGCAGCTGGGTTGCCATTGTGTGCACAGAGCAGCTCCGGGTGGACCCTGGGTCTGATCCCGCAGGGCTGTTCTTATGCTCTTAGGAGATGTGACATGTGATGCTGCACCCCAGTATGGCTACAGCTAGGCACCTGGCAGAGCGGCTGTGGTCCTCAAGCTGCCTGATACGCCTTGGCTCACGGACACCCCCCGCCATGTCTCTCATGATGGTCAAGGGTTGTCAAGCCTTCCCCCTCAGCCACTCCTTCTTGGTGGGATGCTCACAGTTGGTGCAACGGCACTAGGCTCTTCTCCGGTGCAAGGAGAAACCAGACCAGTACTGTGGCTCTGGAGAGAACCAGGATGTGGACGGGCCGACAGTACAGAGGTACACTTCTTTGGGATCAGCTTCTTATCCTGCTCAAGGCATAAGAGGGTCCGAGCCCTGCTGGAGCAGAGCAGGGGTCCATCTCATCCAGTGTTCTGCTCATGCAGTGGGCAAGCAGCTGCCCTCAGGTTCCCATACACAGGACATACCTTCTAGGCTTATTTCCAGCCCAGAGGGCTGATCACAGGAGCATTGTGCTGGAGTCCAAGTATCACATCCCTTCCCAGGTCCCCACATGGGGAAGTGGCTGGGTGGCGATGCACGTGAATGAGGCAGCTGAATGCAGAATGCCAGCATGTGGCGTCTGTATTGCCCTCTCTCCTGCTGTCTAATTAGACCATGATTGCTCCAGCTCCTCCTCCACCTCTTCCACTGCCCCTCCACACCCTTCTGCTAGCAGCATCCAAAGTGGCAAACACACAACGTATGATGCAACCAGTAAAAATGCAAGTGCAGAAAGAACCTAAAAGCAAACCCCACAATCATCATACAGCCAACAGTAAAAAAAAACCCCTAAAAGGCAGGCATCTAAGATCAGCAAGAGCAGAAGATGTTAAAACCATCAAAAATAAAACAGGGTGTTGCACTTGAAAAGACCATCTCAAATAGAGGTGCTTTTAGTTGCTGGGAGAAGGCATTGAGGCTCGTACATTCTGATCAACGCTCTTTATACATGTTTTTAAATGAGGCACTGATTAAGTTTTCAGGTGCATCTTACTTCAGAAGTGAGTGTTGGCCAGGCTGTTGCAGAATGAATGACTGCAGGCAGAGAATGGGAGGCGTGAGCTCTGATAATGATACGGTGTGAGTAGATGTGTATAAATATGCCAGTGCCTTTGTCTGTATCCTTGAAATGCTCAGCAAATCTCTTTTCTCAGATGTCTCAGCAAATTTCTTTTCTGCCCTTATCCCCATTTATGTGCAACTTGCCACTTGCAACCTGGTTCTCCCCACTAGATCCTAAACTCTTCTCTAAGTGTCGTTTTTTCTAGCCATTCCTGATTTTAAACCAGTGGGGATGGGGGTTTGTTTGCTTTGTTCAGCAGGGGAGGCCTTGCTTCATATTTACTTGTTCACTTTGAAGGATCAGCAGAGCCTTTTTAGTAGTCGCGTCTATACTGCAATATCCTCCCAAAAGAGACACGTAACTTTTGTGGCGGCATTTTTCTGTATAGTGCAAACTTCCTTCTTTAACAAGGCATTATCCACCAGATGCCATCGTTTTCATGGTCCTGCTTAAAAATTTGCACTGGCATTTGACAAATATGTGTCGGTTGAATGCAGTTTTTAGTATGAGTTTTTGTTCGATTTACCTGATGATGACGATTCATGTTCTTAATTTGGTTTGTATATGACTCTGGATGTGTTAATGTGACTAATATGTATAATCAAGATGCAACCCTACACAAGTTTAGACGGAAAAGTCCTACAACTCCCAGCCTGTCCCAGACAGCAACATGGGAGTCGTGGGCCATTTTCTGTCTAACTTAAAGAGATAATTGAGATAGACCTTGGGTACCAGAACAAAGACAACTGTTGAAAAGCACTTAAGGCAATATTGGCTGCAATAGAATTTGTCTACTGTGAAGATAGCTTTTCCTTCTTTCCTCTCTTCTTGCTATGTTTTGTATGATAGAACATTTTGAAATTTTTTTCCCAGAGAAGCTGTTTGTCTCCTCAGGTTCTGGCATGAATTTACTGCAGATCCGTGAGAAAGTATGGAGTTCTGTCTGTCTCAATGCTTGTGCACCTGGATTAGAAAAAAAGTTGGGTCATCCCGTACCATCCAGCAAAATACTGGTATTGGCTGCCATGGAACAATTCTAGGGAATTTAATGGGATTAGAGCCTGTATCTATTATTTTTAATTGGATTTTTGAAAGGTGAATCTTCTACACTAGCAATTTTAATGGTTTAAATTGTAATTGTTTCCCTCAGAGGACCTTTGGAACTAGATTGTTAAGTGGGAGGTTCAGGGCCTAACAGACTAGATGAGAATAGCAAACATTGACTTTTGCTAAGAAGAAAAGGGAGAGAAAATACTGTGTATATATGTGGTCTACAGGCATTGTGGTCGCTGCTTTAGAATAGTCAGAAAAAAGAAAGTCAGATGAAAGAAACATTGAAACCACTGGTTGTTGTTTTTGGAAACTGATGTAAGGGATTATTTCAGGCAATCCTGAGAAAAATTTACAGGTATTCTGTAAAAATCCCTTGTTAAGTAAATGGTCTGGTTCTCTGCAGCAGAACAAGATATGTGTAAACAATTATACAAGATTCTGCTAATCAACAATATAAATTCAGGCCAGTTTCACTGGACAGGTTCACACAACTCTTTAAGCCACCATGTGAATAAGATATGCGGGGACCTTTCTTCACAGAGCAACCCATGGTGCTCCAGACCCACGGCGGGGTTATCATGCTTGTTCTTCCCCTCCTTTCCTTTATCCTCCAGATGTGCTTCATGGCAGAATTCATCTTGTGTCTTCCTCCCCCTTCCAATTACTATCCCTTTTCATTGTCACTTAAAATAATTTCTTTTGGATGCTCAAAATTGAGCAATTGGGGTCATTGTTTTCTTGCCCTCAGAAAATTCTGCTAACATGTTCAGAATTTTAAAAATACTGTCAGTCTTGTACAAGTTCGTTCTTACGGCTGCTCATTATGTATACTGTTGGCTGGTCAATTCCCTTGCATATTTCAGTTTTGGTGCTCGTGCTTTTCTTGCTTCCTCCCTCCTGTCGCCTTTTTCAGTGCTTTTCAATTGGCCCATGACAACTGAAACATGCAAGAGAATTCAGCAGGCAAGGTGACTTTTATCAGACAGCCATAAGGGTGCTCTTAAACACTTGGAAAAGACGGACAAAGATTATTACTTTAGAAAAAAAAATAGGAACACAATGTGCAGTTGTCTGTGATTGATTTCTAAAAAGCTGAACCAGTGGCGGTCATGCCAGTGTACCCATGGGCACTGGCCGTGGGGCTCTCACTGGGAGGGGCAAAGGCAACATGGCAAAGAAATTGCTAGCAGATCTCTGCAACACTTGATAGAATTTTTCTCCTGTATTTTATGACATGACAAGTTATTGTGGAGCAAATAACCCCTAGAACAAACCATGAGTTGTTGGAGTGGCTTGTTGTAAGGGCTGGGGGGCGGGGAGGTACCCTTTGAAAAGAGATCTGGGTTTAAGAGACAGGACAACCCAGCATAGCTAGTTACACACCGTGGGTTGTCATGTCATGTCACGGTCTCTGTTTCCTCTCCAAAGAATCTTGGGAATTGTGGTTTTGTGGGGGCCCTGAGATTTCTCTGCCAAAGTTCTCTTTTACAGGCCTTTATGGCTATTCTATAGAACATGCAAGATTTCTCTGTTAAAGTGCCACATGTTCTGATGCAAAAGGTTACAGTCCTCTTAAACAACTTTCTCCTCTCCATTTCAGGGTTCCATTTCGCCATATTATGTGCAGCGCTTTGGATTTAACCCTGACTGTAAAATTGTAGCATTTACTGGAGACAATCCAGGTAAGGAAGTTAAAACATTTGCTGGTGGAATTCTGAGTTTCCCTTTGATTGCACCCATTAAAGAACATTCTTTAAGTCTTCTTTAATCCATGTGTTAGAATCTACTGTATTCTGGAGTGGCCTGAATACTTTTAGTGCCAGATAGATTCCAGCAGTCCAAAAAAGGGATGCACTTATATCCTAGTAAGATCACAGAGACTGATACAAACCTGATTTCAGTCGACCTAATTTTTCAGCTGCATCCATTCGCCTTGGCACCCGGCGCGATGGCTAACCTCATTGGTAACCAGACCCTCTTGTCTATTTTTAGCATCTCTGGCAGGAATGCAGCTTGGTGAAGGAGACATTGCAGTAAGTGCCGACACGTCGCATCCATACTGTTGATCAGATGTGCGGGATAAATCCCTGAGTCCTATCGAGAATGAGCCTCGGATAGGAACCCTGTGACATACATTTGGCTGGGCATATGCCCCTCGCTGAGCCCTTTCAGTTCCCATTGATTTCAGCTGAGGAGATTGGAACAGATCCTTAAATCTTTTCCACGGAGATTATTGACACCCCAAAGTAATGAAGAGCAGAAGGACCCCATCATAACAAGCATAGCAGGGCATGGGCGCTTCTGGAAGTGGCTCTTTCTGCGTGATTGCACAGCTTCGTTCAAAGAATTTTGCAAGAGGTCCAAACAATAACATTTTTAATTTGTAGCCTTCCTGTGTTTTCCCGTTGTTGTGGCCGCCTTCCTCCCCTTCTGTTAAGGAAGAAAAGGTAGAATAGGTGCACAATGCCTTGTGATTGCTGGTACTAGAAGGCCTTTGTCTGGATGTACCCTGGGTTGATTTCCCTTGTGCTGTTCGTGGCTGGGATTGATTTCTGTGAAGCAGATGGTGTTGCGGAAGTTCTCCAAATGCATGCAAAGGGCAGAGAAGCAAGGCTGGCAGACACACACGGGTGTGTTGCTCAGAATCTTCTCTCACTGGTATGCCAGAACAGCCTTTATGGAAGAGGATTGCTTCAAACTCCTGCCCAGCACCAGCCTTTCAGGTTGCCACACGGAACAGGGTGATGGGGGTTTGAAGCACATCTGGCACATCTGGAGGGCACCAGATTTGGGGAGCTTGGCAAAGCTACTCCTGCTTTTCCTCGATGATGTTTTGCAAGATTTTGTAGCTATGCTTTCATGGCAGGTTTTTATTCCAGGCCCAATGTTGATTGGTTTGTTGGGTTTTTTGAGGGGGGCAGTTATTACTATAGTGGTCCATTTTATTGATCCAAACTCTTTTAGGAGGGCTGCTGTTCTGAAAGCCAGACTGGAATGATGGTGGTGTTGGTGATATAATGATGATGATGATAATATCATCAGGCAGTAAGAAGGTTTTCCCTGCAGTGGTGGATTCATCGCTTGATGTCATTTCATCCAGTGATGTTTATGTGTGTGAGTTCACCTGAACGTTTTTCTGCCTGGCACCTTTCAGAAGCTCTAGGCTACAGTTCCAGCATCCTTTTCCTGCTGGGCCCAGTGGGAGTTGAAGCCCCGAACCTCTGGAAGATACCAGGTTCGGGAAAGCTGATTTCCCAAATACATCCTAGCCAAACTTGACTTCTGCTCTGTATCTCGCACAAAGGCGACAAGCAGAGCTGATTGTGCAAGAATTCAATTGCTTTAATGTGCAATTTAAAGATCATTAGTAGCATAAACGAATGGGTTTAATTTGATTTCTACATTGCTTTTCATGCATATTGTGCTAGCACTTCACATTTTCTCCCCCAGATTAGTCTTGGCACCAGCGATACGTTGTTCCTTTGGATTAAAGAGCCGAAGCCTGCCTTGGAAGGTCACATCCTCTGCAGCCCGGCTGATTTGCATGCCTACATGGCCTTGCTCTGGTAATGCACCTCTCATTGTTATCCGTGGCAAACAAAGGCAGCTGCCTTGGCCTGAAAAAGGATGCCCACATCCATATATTATGATAGCTTTTACTAGGTCCGTTCGGAAGATCATCAGAAATGCACAAGCTTTTGAGATGTTCAGATCGCTGCATCAGGCAGGATGTTAAATCCTCAGGGTAAGATCTCAAGAGCTTACACATTTCTTGGTGACTGTTCATGTTGACCTAATAAAAGGTATTATTCTAGATAGATGTTGATCTCAGGGAAGCAGTAGTGATAATAAGAGTACTTAAAATATAATTTCTGATACTTATGGGCCATTGTATAACAAAGTTTTCAGGGTGGTTTACAGAATAAAAACAAGCAAAACTGCAGCCGCCGTGCATGGGAGAAAAACTCCAGGTGCCAGAATCTTGTAAGCCTTTTCGGCAGAGCTATCCTAGTTTTTGTGCTGACATTAATGTAAAGATGTAATTGTACTTGGAGCTGACCCATTGAAATCCATGGGGCTTAAGTCAGTCATTAACTCATCCCATGGGCTAAGTGTGACTAAATCTGGATCCAGCTTTATACACCAAAGAGCTATAAACTCAGATCCACACACCTGCATCTACAAGGTGACCCTATGTAGGGCTCACTGTATTGATCTGTTGCATTTGTACAGTGCTCAATAGCTGAAGCTCTCTGGTCTGTTGACAACAATGAGAACCATGAAATACAGCATGATACTGTGGGACATGAAGCTACACCTTAAAGGTGCAAACCAAAGTGAAGCCTAGCAGCAATGCAAAGATTTAAGTACAGAGCTAAAGCAACAGATGCTGCAAGACCAGAATACCTGGGAAAGCAAGGTCTTCAGGTGCAGCTGCGAAGGCACCAGACTGGATTCTCTGGGAAGCCTTTTTCCCACCAGATGCTGCAGCAGAAAAGACTCCATTTTAGTAGCAATCCATCTCGCTTCTTTTGGTGGGGAATCCTGGAGAAGGACTGTTTAGGGTGGTCTTTAGGGCCCAGGCAGTCACACACACACACACACACACACACAGAGACAGACAGAGAGAATTCTTGCTTCTATGGTAGGGTAAATAGGATTGCAGCCTTGTAATGGCTTTGCAAAATTCTGCAAAATTCTGACTGCGCATCTTGGGAAATAATAATATTTCATTTCTGTACCACCCTATAGCCAAAATGCAATGGGTCTGTTGTAATTCTTCTTGTGTGATTTGTTTTAGTTATAAGAATGGTTCTTTGATGAGAGAGAAGATTCGAGATGAGGTTTCCTCGGGCTTGTGGGAGGAATTCTCTGAAGCACTAGCGTCTACACCTGTTGGGAATAATGGCAATGTTGGTATGTATTTTGGAAGCGAGGAGAGTGTCAAGGCGAGGCTTGATACTTTTGTGCCTTTCCCATCCTTTTACTTTGGGCTTTTGTGCCAGCAATGAATTAATTCAGGCAATGATCGGTGTCTTTGTTTGTTATCAGAACAGCAGCACAACCTTTTGTCAGCGCTGTCAGATATGCCTTCTGTAATGGGCTAGCAGTATCCATCGGAAGAGTTCTAGAAATGACGCTCAGTAAGAGGAAAATCACTTCTCCACGCAAACCAGTGTTGCAAACCAGAGCCGAAACCTTGTTTACAGATCTGGACTGCAGGCCAACAAGAGACTTTTTCTTTTTTCCTTGTAGTATTTTTCCCATACCTCAGCTGCAAAGGCTTCTAGTAAAGGTTGTAATGGTAAAACAAGTCAATACTTCCCTATAGGTTCACAGTCTAAATAGACACATCATGCAAGGAAGGAGGCATGGGGAGGGAAGAAGAAAAATAGTTTGCCAGTTCAGATGTAATGGCATGCTATGGCTGTCACAATGCAGGAAGCAAGCAGATAATGCGAGGAGAGAAGAGAGAAGGAGGAAGGTGCACAGGTGCTGCAGGCTCAGGCATGCAACTATGCATTTGTGTTATGTGTGAATCAACCCGCTGCTTGCTGTCTCCTCACTTGCTTGTTGCATTAAAGGTATATTTTGGTTATCAAGGACAAATATACTGATCTTTGTAATTTTTCCTTTAGGTTTTTATTTTGATGTGATGGAAATTATACCTGAAGTGGTGGGAATACACAGATTCAACTTGCACAATGACAGAGTAAGAGCGGCCCTAATGTTTGATTAAGGATTACGAGTACTTCAAATTATTATTATTATTATAACATTTCTATGCCGCCCCTTGCCGAAACCTCGGGGCGGCTTACAACATGATAAAATACATTGAAATACAATAGTACATAATAAATTACCATTAAATATAACAATACAAAAAATACATTGATTTACAAATACAAAATTAAATGCAGTGAATTCCCCATGTAGCCTTTACTTCCATGTATACCCTGTGTTCCAAACTTGCTGTTTCCCAGAATACACAGTAGGTACTTTATGAGGACCAGTCAAAACTTCCCAAGATTTCAAGCAAGCTTTCAAGTTGTGCAGAATGTACAGAATATTTTTAAAATCTTTTTTCTTACATTTTGTATTATTAAACTGTCCCGAGATTTCGGTAATGGGACGGTCTACAAAAGTTTTAAATAAATAAATAAATATGGGGGTGGGACATGGAAAATCTAAATTAAAAACCTTCTTAGCCCTTGACTCAGTATGGGCAGCTTTGGACTAGGCATTTCCCTCTCAGCCATTCCTTCTGCTTTTAAAATGGGAAGTAGTAACCGAATGAATGAATGAATGAATGCATACTTACATACATACATACCCTAACCATTTCAGGCTTGTCATGAGGATTAATGAAATAAGGATTATAAAGCATTCTGATTCTAGCGTGTCTACTCGGAAGGGGGTCTTGTCAGTTTAAGACCACCCTCTTTTCTGAGGCTTTTAATAACTTTCTCAGCCACCCAGTGTCTTGAGGGGATCACAGGTGTTTTGCAGAGTCTCTGTTGTTCTTCTTTCTCTCCTCCCCACTTTTGTTGTTCTTTGTTATTGTCTGTTTTTATTAACTGTTTTTAGCTGTTTTAAACTTTTAAATATTTTTCTGATTTTCTGATATTTTTATTGTACTTTCATCACTTGTTTTTACGGACTGTGTAAACTGCCCAGAGAGCTTTGGGTATGGGTGGCACAGAAACAAAATAAATAAATACGTTCATCAACTTAACAAGACTTGTTTCCTTTGCAACCACCAGCATTAGGTGCAAGAAAAATAATGGATTGTATCCAGTGGCTGGGATTCAGCGTTAGTCTGACTTAAATCCTGTTCATTCTACTCTTAAGTATTTGATGCAACTCTATTAAACAAATATGCAGTTGCATTGTACTGAAATTCTGGAGACTTGGTCAACATTGGTGCTTCTGACTGTCCTTTTTATTTTGGCACATATTCAGATTGTGTGGATGTAATAGAAATAAGATACCACTGAATTTGTGGTCTGGGGACAATTACCTGGAAGTAAATTCCATGGAAGCCAGTGGGCCTCCCTTTCGGTAGATGTGCAGAAGTTTGCACTGTTAAGCAACCAAATCACCATGCTGCTTTCTCTGCTCTCTCCTATTCTTCCCCCTCCTCCCCCACACCCTGCCATCTTGCAAGAATGTTCTGGAAGTAAATTTGAAAGAAGCCTTTCACCTAAAGAAGGAAGTACAGGAAGGAAATAGAGTTGTCCCCTGATTCCTATCACTTTTGATTTCAAGATTTAAGAATATATCAGTTGGGGCCAGCGGAATTAGGTTATTATTATTTATATTTATTTATTTATTTATTTATATTGCGATTTATATCCTGCCTTTTTCCTGCAAAGGGCTCAAGGCAGCTTACATCATCTCTCCTCCTCCATCTTATCCCCACAACAACAACCCTGTGAGGTAGGTTGGGCTGAGAGTCTGTGACTGGCCCAAAGTCACCCAGTTGGCTCCATTGCTGAGCGGGGACTTGAACCCAGATCCTCTGCGCCCCAGTCCCACGCTCTTAACCACTACACCACACCGGCTCTTATTAGGCTCTAGGAGGGTTCTGCAGCTGTGACTGGCTGGATATGGAATATGGACTGGCTGGATATGGGATGGGCTTCCAAGGGAGGTGGTTGAGGCCCCATCAGTGAAGGCGTTCAAGGAAAGAGTGGACAACCGCATGTTGGGGATTACATGACCGGAGCTGGCTGGACTCAGGTGTCAGACTAGATGGCCTGGGAGGCCCCTTCTGACTTTCTTTATTTCTATATTTCTATGTTGCTGTCACACATACAGACTTGCAGGGGCAAACCAGCAATGCCATACCCTGTAAATCTGGCATTTTCTGTTTGTGCTTTCAAAGCCAACCCTTCCCTTTCCCCTCTAAATGTTCCATTATTTGCACTGGAGACATTCCTAGTGACTTAATTTCTCTTTCTTTCTATCCAGATCGTAACATTTCCCAAGGAAGTGGAGATACGGGCCTTGATTGAAGGGCAATTTATGGCCAAAAGAATCCATGCTGAAAAGCTGGGGTATCAAATCTGTGAGTGTGTTGGCAATACGGCTTCTAAAAAAAGGTTGATAAATGTCATTTTGGATGTAATTCTGTGCATGCTGAGGCAGAAAAAAGTCCAGCTGTTCCCAGCATCACCCCAGCATTCTTTCTAGGGAATGTTGGAAATTGTAGGACCTTTTTTGCATTTAAACAAAATGCAAAAAACAAAATGCAAAAAACAAAATGCAAAAAAAAGTGCAGTTCTGTGGCCAGAGAAGTGGCGTTCTCTTGGTCATAACGTAACACTTTGGAGCTGAATTGAATGGGTCAAGGAGAGCATAACATCAGGGCAGCGGCTGGGACAGCTGGGGGAAGATCTGATTCATGCCTTCCCCTGGACATCTCAGTTTTACTTGTTGGTGCTTGCCTTTTGCATCAGCAATCATTCCAAGGTGGCTTCCTGAAATCAGAAAGCTACTTTGTAGGTGGCTTTGAGTGGAAGTGATCTTTACTATAATGTTGCTTCTAATATCTACACTTCTGGGGGAAGGAACACATTTCAAGTAGTATTGGAATTCTGGAATTAGAGGTTCAGGTCATATTTGTGTTTCTTTGTCATAAAGCCTGTGGTCTGCAATTTTTATGACATTGTTCGATACTTTGAAATCATGCCCAGGTAAAAAACCATCAAGGTTATTACATCCGAAAGTGTAACCATCAAGGTATCTACCGTATCAGAAAGAATTTTCAGTCCTTCTGTCCAGTTTGGAAACTGGCCAATTCTGAGTTTGCCTTCTTCAAAATGTACCAAGAAGTCAGCACAGAGCCTGTGGCTCCTGCCATCAGGATGAAATATTTGCCTTTATAAAAATATATGAATGGTTGTGTTTTGTTATCATGAAGTCTAGCATTGTAAAGCAGTAACAATGCAATGAGCAAATCTCTGTTGTGGGATCAGAGAGAATGTTCAAAAGCAAAATTGGTTCTTTTGATATGCTCCTAAATTTTTGTAGCTCTTTTTGTAGCTTCATCTTCAATTCAGTCATCAGCACCCCTTTTTAATCTGAGTATTGTAGCAAAATAAAGTGAGCATTTCATTTTTATACTGCCCATAGCCAAGGATCTCTGGATGGTTAACAAAAGTTAAAGTGGAAGAATAGTTTAAAAAGACACACAGAGACACAAAAAGTAACTTAAAACAGCAAAACCATAATAGCAATTGCAACTGAATCAGCATAGAAGCATAGCAGCAGTGCGGAATAAAATGCAATATATAAAAACAGAGTTGAAAAGTCAAACTGTTAAAATGCTGGCAAAATGAAAAGGACTTCACTAGGTGCCAAAAAGGATACAAAGTAGGTGCCGGGAGCACCTATTTGGGGAGCTTGTTACAAAGCTGGGGTGCCACAACCAAAAAGGCCCACCTCCAGGTAGCCACCTGCCCCACTTTCTTTGAAAGGGGCTCCTGGAGAAAGACCCCCAAAGTTGACTTCAGGGTCTGGGTAGGTACATATCAAAAGAACAACCCTCTGTCTTTGTTCCCAGTGGCAGCTTTTGCTGGACCAGATTTAGGATGGCTTTGCACATGAAGCACACCTGAATGGCAGGTGCTCAGGACAAACAAGTGAAGGGGGCTGTTAGTTCATTCCCCTTTCCATTTTATTGCTTGCAGTTTCCCTGGAAGCAGCTGGCTAGGCTGGTTGGACAGATTCAGTGAGAGTTTCTCCCATTCATAAGAAGGGCTTATGGAAGCCTCACTGAAATTTGTATCTTTTGCTTTGAAGCAGATATGTGTAGGATGATGTTATGTAAATGCTAAATATCATTAAGCGTTGTAATGGGAAAGCAATCCCAGTGTGGTCACGCTGTCGTATATTCAGTTTGCAGGTGATTCTTTCAGTCCAGGAGAGGGCGATAGATCCCATATGATGGCAGTGTTCGGCGTTTAGTTGAATGAATTGTGCTGTGGTGTGTAATATTTACCAATGCAAGGTCTCCTGTTGAACTGGCTGACAAATTTACCCCTGGTTTCTAATCCCAATGTAAGAATTATAGTTGGTTTGTTTTAGTTTTTGCATTCCTATTGTTCTACCTGGTCATAATCAGATTTCAAGGAAAATCCCCTAGTAAATGCCCTATATCCTGTTTCAGGTTGTTGACCCGGGGAGGAGGGGGGAACATGGTGCAAGTTAGATCAACAACAAAAGGTGTGAAGGAAGCCATGCTTTGCTCTCTCTGTTTCCACCCTTTGATTTGTGGAGGTAAAGTGAACAATTTCCATGTAATACTTCCCATTGCATTTCCAATTTTGCAAAAAACTAATTGTCGCTTTTTTCTGTATCCCCTTAAAAAAATGAGTCTCTGTTTACTGGTTTCAGTCCTAGTTTTAGAGGGGACTGACATGGGGACTGTGGCATAAAGCTTCCTGCTCTTGAGTTTTGTAAACATTCTCTTGGATCCAACTGTTGCGTGAGCTGTCTAAAAAGTTCTCCACCTGGGTAACCCAAGCCTAGTACTAAGAAGTAGCATACAAACCTTATGAATATTAGTTCCAATTTGTTCCCTTTGCTTTTTTGTCCTGTTCATTCACAGGAATAGTTACAAAGCAGCACAGGCCATTGAGCTCAGAATTTTGGCTAAAAAACTGAGCTCACTTCACCTCTCAGTTTCCCAGGGGATGCTTCTGATATATTTTCAAGTCTGTCTTAGCAGTCATAAGACCCAGGTGCTCATTTTTCTTTTTTATTTAATCAATGGAGACTTAGATCTTCAAGAACCTAATTGTCTGCCAAATATCCAAATTGATGCACCCCATGGCCATGCCCACACAATTTGATTAATTAATTGATTTCTGTGACACCCAGCAGCCAAAGCTCTCTGGGTGGTTCACAGCAGCATATTTAAAAACAATATAAAATATACCAATTAAAACATATTAAAACAGCGTAAAAGTTAGCTATACATAATTTAAAACCAATAAAAATAGAAAAACAAAAGTATGTGTTAAAAAGGCCCTGTTAAACCTTCTCTAACAAGCTGAGCACTGAAGAATTGAGGCCTTTGAATGGTGGTGCTGGAGGAGACTCCTGCGAGTCCCTTGGACAGCAAGGCGATCAAACCGGTCAGTCCTAGAGGAGATCAACCCTGACTACTCTTTAGAAGGCCAGATGCTGAAGATGAAACTCAAACACTTTGGCCACCTAATGAGAAGGAAGGACTCCCTGGAGAAGAGCCTAATGCTGGGAACAATAGATGGCAAAAGAAGGAGGGGATGGCAGAGGGTGAGGTGGCTGGATGGAGTCACTGAAGCATTTGGTGTGAGCTTGAGTGGACTCCGTGGGATGGTGGAGGACAGGAAGGCCTGGAGGAGTGTTGTCCATGGGTTCACGATGGGTCGGACACAACTTCGTGACTAACAACCACAAGAACATGTAGCAGGCCCGTAACTCATGAAATGCCCTATAGTAGAGGGCGGTCTTTACCTGGCGCCAAAAAGACAATCAGGTTGGCTCCTGGTGGGCCTCAGTGGGGAACTTGTTTCATACCTGGGGCCCACTGCTGAAAAGGCTCATCTCGTTGCCACCATCTGAGCCCTCCTCTGAGGAGGCAGTGCAGAAGGGTCCCAGAACCTGATCGTCGTGTCCAGGTAGATAGAGGTCGGGAGAAGCGTTCTGTCAGGTATCGTCCCCCCTGGGGTTGTGGCACATAGTGAAAGAAGTGACAGCGTAGGTGCCACGTTTCGATGCGTCGGGGACATCGTAGTACAGAGCCCGGGATGCACGTGGCAGGCCTGTGGACCAGAAATACGGAGTGACAGAGGGTATGATGCTGACTGGGATATGCAAGGCATTTAACCCTCCAGTCAGCTGAGAGCTGGAAGGGCACCTTATGCCGTGCCCTTGTGCGGGGCCTTAAACTGGGGACCGCTGAGCTGTGGAGGCTTGCCGGAGGAGGGAGCTGCTGGCACGGTGATCATTGTGCTTATGCAGCTGAGTCTCCAGATCGGGTGGGCTGAACTTGCTCTGAGTCTCCAGATTGGGTGGGCTGAACTTGCTCTGAGTCTCCAGATCGGGTGGGCTGAGCTTGTTTCAGCCCAATGGCTGAATTTCACTTCTGAAAAACTCTCAGCAGCCTACATTCCAGGGGTGGTTTAATTCACTTGAAGGCAAAAGTGGTGGAGTCTAATCCCCCCAATGCAAGCATGTTTGTGCTCAGAGCTCTTACTTCCAGTAACTTTTAGGATGTGGGAAAAGGCTGCACAAAAGCCAGGAGGTCAGCAAATGGCGTCTGGTTGGGGAATGAGAAGGGGGTCAAGGGAAGGCTCCCTGGTCCCCAGCGCTGAGGTTCTGCACCCATGCTCTGAGTCCACAGCCTCTGGTGTGTTCCACTGCTGGAGCGACTTGGCTCTGCGCAGCCGCTGCACTAGTTAAGTAATTACCTGCTTCTCACTTTCTGCCTCCTGTGCAGCCACCTTCCATGCGGTGCTTGCTTGCTTTGCCTTTCTCTGGCTCTTTTCTCAGTGAACAGCCTTCCATTTGCCTAACTCTGCCTTTACGGTGCCTCCAGATACCAGCCCAGCCAGTCTGAAATGTCACAACCTCTCCACTTTTTATGGGAAAATCCTCTCTGTAATTAAAAGCTGGCTGCATGTTCCATGTCAATAGAAGCTGGTTCAGTGGCAATGCAGTCTTGTTTATATTGTCGTCTTGTTTTGGGAACCAGCGTGACAGTGGCTTCTTATCGCTTTCATGGAGCCAGCCTGGAACAATACCATGGAGTGTAATGCTAGAGTAGTTGTCACTGTGCTCTTGACATTTGGGAAGCATCAAACCATAGATAACGATTCTGTTTTATCACCCTTTGAGGGTGTCGAATTGGAAGTATTTCAGAACTCATCACTGATGATAGTGGAAACCATAGTGGCTTCCAGTGGAAAGATTTGATAGTGATTTCTTTAAATTGAGAGGGATTACATTATTTCAGGTTTGCACAATATATCAGCCCCTTGCCTGCATTTCGTGCGCTGTGGCAGTGATCTTTTCTCTGCC